ATGGCATTGTTTCGCTTCATCTCTATGGTGCTGGCAGCATGTGTGGCATGTGTGATGGGCATCCGTCCAGACCACGAAGCACTCTTGCAGTCCGAGAAGGAGACCAAGGAGATCACGAAGCTTCCAGGGATCGGAGAGCCATGCACCAAATCCAGGTTCAAGGCAGACTGCGACAAATCATCGGGCAAAGATGTGGCCTGCGATACCATCAGACTCCAGAACAACTACCGCTGCTGTATCAAGGCAGGTGAGAAGGAAAAGAATTTACCCCTGGATGGCAATCGTGACACTTGCTGCAGCGGCCAGACATCTACGTACGAGGGCAAGGAGTACTGCTTCTGAGAGCCTCGCGGCGCGGCTTGAACTTAGTAGCTACTTAGTAGCTGTCCCGCTGGAACGTGGCTGAAAAAGGTGGACTTGGCAAATTCACAGTCGTACTCGCACAATGTTCTATACTGTTTTCTATACTTTTGTCGTTATCTCATTCCAAGTTGCCATATTCACTGGAGAAAGTTGTGTTCAATTGTGCTGTCCTTGAAGATCTTTGAAGTCAATCAGTTAACTGCTTATTTTGAATTTAAAGGATTCTTCGTTCTAGAAGCTATACAATGCTGAACCCTCTCAGGGGTTAGACAGCCGTTGCCAAGATGAGCTGAATATCCGTGTGAAACGTGTGCCCGCCGCCCTTCCAGCCCAGATGGCATGTTTTGGAGCGTCCGAAAAAAAAACAAAATTTCACGATGTAATGGAAAGAGACGGAGACACCTGTAGGATCATGTCACACACAGGTGGCTTTGCAAGAGCTGTGAGAATCGCGCCCTTAGCTGACCGGAATCCCTTGGGATTCTATCAGTTGAAGCGGCTTTGCCATGGATTCAACGGATTCCTGGGAAAACATCTTGTCGGAACTGGACCTGACGGACCACCGGCAAGACCTCGCAGCGGCAGGGTATGACAATTTTAAGGCCCGGGCAGTCCATTCCGATATCTTCTTCAAAGTTGGTTGGGAGATCAAAAAGAAATGCGGGATATCTTGGACCCCAACGAGCACGAGAACGGCTAATCATTTTTTCCCACCTATTTGGGGCCCTTTAACCAGTTTTCTATCTTGGGAAACAAGAGGGGTATGGCCCAATCACCGAGTGTCGCAGGACGATCAAGTGGGATTTCCAACCAATTTGCCTCGAATGATTTTCTGATCCAGTATATTCAGCGTGATTTTCTCATTCAAGACATCTGATGACTTCGAGATTTGGCTGCCATGTTCCCCCTCAACATTTTCCGGACATCGGCATGGCTGCCAGGTCCCATTGCCGAGCCAATGGTCCCCAGTGGTGCTAGGAGTCTGGGGATATGTGCTGGCGTACGGCCGTGCACAAATGGGGATGCTTCCATGTTTCATCATGTTTCTATACCATCTAAGCAGGGACAATGAATTGAGATGAATTGAGATGAATTGAGATGAATTAGATGAATTGAGATGAATTGAGATGAATTGAGATTAATTTGAGGGTGTGGGTGTCGTAAATTCTCACTTTGTGCCACATCTTGGTATCATAAAATCATCTCATTGCTTTCCAGGATCCCTTCGCCGCAGCTGAGTTTGGAACAAGACTCGGATTTGTGTGACACTGCGCTGTCAAAAAGTGGGAGACGCAACATTTTCATCAACTTTTTTTTTGTTACGTTACCGATGTCCCATGGCTTCACCCGATCTGCATGAAATGATCGGCCCATCAAAGCGGCTAGTCATTTCTGTGGCATCGTTGTTGATCTTCCCATGAGTCGTTCTACCCACTTTGTGAACTGTGAGTCTTCATCCAAGTTTGTGCCTGTTTTTTGAGCCACTGGCGATTTTTCATTTTCCCACCGCACTTTTCTTGAAATCTGGCTAATCTGGAATCTGGCTCAAACTGTTAGCTGTTAGCACTTAAAGCCTATCCCAAAGCCAGATTGATTGCCAATTCGACAGCAATGGCATTGTTTCGCTTCATCTCTATGGTGCTGGCAGCATGTGTGGCATGTGTGATGGGCATCCGTCCAGACCACGAAGCACTCTTGCAGTCCGAGAAGGAGACCAAGGAGATCACGAAGCTTCCAGGGATCGGAGAGCCATGCACCAAATCCAGGTTCAAGGCAGACTGCGACAAATCATCGGGCAAAGATGTGGCCTGCGATACCATCAGACTCCAGAACAACTACCGCTGCTGTATCAAGGCAGGTGAAAAGGAAAAGAATTTACCCCTGGATGGCAATCGTGACACTTGCTGCAGCGGCCAGACATCTACGTACGAGGGCAAGGAGTACTGCTTCTGAGAGCCTCGCGGCGCGGCTTGAACTTAGTAGCTACTTAGTAGCTGTCCCGCTGGAACGTGGCTGAAAAAGGTGGACTTGGCAAATTCACAATCGTACTCGCACAATGTTCTATACTGTTTTCTATACTTTTGTCGTTATCTCATTCCAAGTTGCCATATTCACTGGAGAAAGTTGTGTTCAATTGTGCTGTCCTTGAAGATCTTTGAAGTCAATCAGTCAACCGCTTATTTTGAATTTAAAGGATTCTTCGTTCTAGAAGCTATACAATGCTGGGCCCTCTCAGGGGTTGGACACGCTGAATATCCGTGTGAAACGTGTGCCCGCCGCCCTTCCAGCCCAGATGGCATGTTTCGGAGCGTCCGAAAAAAAAAGACAAAATTTCACGATGTAATGGAAAGAGACGGAGACACCTGTAGGATCATGTCACACACAGGTGGCTTTGCAAGAGCTGTGAGAATCGCGCCCTTAGCTGACCGGAATCCCCTGGGATTCTATCAGTTGAAGCGGCTTTGCCATGGATTCAACGGATTCCTGGGAAAACATCTTGTCGGAACTGGACCTGACGGACCACCGGCAAGAGCTCGCAGCGGCAGGGTATGACAATTTTAAGGCCCGGGCAGTCCATTCCGATATCTCCTTCCAAGCTGATCCCCTGTAGGTGCACCCCTTCACTCAAAGGCCCCTGTTTTCAGCGTGGTTTCAGTGGCACTGAGGCCTCTGTGTTTCCTGCGTTTTGTGAGAGTTGCGGGCCAGAAACCTCCGGTCAGGCATTGATGAACATGCCGGAAGTGGACGTGAAGAGGTACAGCTTCCTTTCAGATGCCCTTGCAGAGGCGCAAGAGGTGTTTCAGTTCCTGAAGGGTGCGCGCTTGGAGAAGTATGCTCAGAAATTCATCGAACTTGGCTTCAGCAGAAAGGAGGATGTCAAGAATATGTCTGAGAGCGATTTGGACCTCTGTGGAGTATTGCCTGGACACAAAAACAGATTCCTCTCGCAGAAACACAAGTTCTTCCAGCCGCACCACTCTGAGCCATCACCGCCTTCTGCTTCAAAGGAAGGCAAGGTTCTCAATCATTCTTGTCACAGCAGGATCACGGTACTTAGAAGGAAGCCACATGCCTTCAGGGTCCAAAGCTAGCGAGCATTGTTTTTGGACGTGTGTTGAATGACCAGCAGGGTACATAAGACTAAGTGTTGCCCGTAGCTGCCAACAGCCAAACTACGGACGTTTCCAGTGCACAGGTTTTTGATCTTGGATGCATTTTTACCCAGAACTTTAGGAAATCCTGAGATTTTAGCATGGCACATTCTTGTTCGATCCAGTTTCACACCCCAAGCCTTAAGTCCCAGAGTAAATCTTTAAACGACTATGAAGCTGCGCGGCAGGCTAGTGTAGAGAGCGAGAGAGCAATGGAGTAACATCCCCAAGGGCAGCCTCAGCCCAATGACAATTCTATGAAAAGGACGAAGGATTTGATCATAAATGAACAGCAGGACAATGAAAGAGCCGTTGAACGCAAGACATTCAAGCGCCGCTTAATTGACAGCAATCGATTGTGAACAAGAGGCAAACGGGAACAAATCTAAACATGTGCTTCAAACGTGCATCAAGGACAAACGGCAATGGTTTGGGGGGTACCGACTCCTAACCGAGACTTCTAGCAAGCGGCTGGGGTCTCGCAGTAAATAGGAAGATTGAGCTGGCTGGTGCATGGCACATTTACACTTCTGTGCGCATGGTTGAGGAGGGAGTGCGTGGGTCAAACTAGTAACACACTTTCAGACTTGCAACGGGCTGGTTATATTTCTGATCAGTGTAGCTTTCCAGGGCCATGCGCTCGCGAACATCCTGAAGTTGAAGGTGAGAAGGAATCAAAGGAGGCAGGGCTTCACATTGCAGGCAAAATTGAAGCAGCGTTCGCCGAGTCAGACGCATCGTGGTCAGTGGGTGTTGATGCAGTGTTATACTTCACTGATCTTCCTTTCCCGCTTTCTAGTACATTTACATTTGCAGAGATGCCCATCATCCCATCATCCCCATGATGCCAAAAAAAACACAGTTTCTAGCTGCACCAGCAAAGATTAGAAAAAAATTGACTGGGTCAGAGACCAGCACTACTTCCTACTTCCCTTCGGCTTCATGAGAAATGGATAGACATGGCTCATGTCCACTTAGCTCAAATGGATTTAATTTCCTGATGCCTGGTGCATATGTTTGAGCCACAGGCTGAACGTGAAGCAACAGCGGGCGCCTTGGATTCTGCGGAATCCATGCCTGCAGCTATCGAACCGAGTGTGAAGGAGGCAAGATTTTGGCTCTTCATGGCTTTGTTCAAGAATCTGTCGAAGAATCTGTCCGAGAATTCGTTGAAGATGCGGCATGGTTTGAAAGCTAAGTGTAGAAGCAATATACATCAACATCAAGACCTAAAAAGCACCTTGCTTCTTAACTGATGGAGGATGAGGGGGCAGCATTCACAATTTGTGTGAATTTTATTCAAAAAAATTGACTGGGTCAGAGACCAGCACTACTTCCTACTTCCCTTCGGCTTCATGAGAAATGGATAGACATGGCTCATGTCCACTTAGCTCAAATGGATTTAATTGTTTGATGCCTGGTGCACATGTTTGAGCCACAGGCTGAACGTGAAGCAACAGCGGGCGCCTTGGATTCTGCGGAATCCATGCCTGCAGCTACCGAACCGAGTGTGAAGGAGGCAAGATTTTGGCTCTTCATGGCTTTGTTCAAGAATCTGTCGAAGAATCTGTCCGAGAATTCGTTGAAGATGCGGCATGGTTTGAAAGCTAAGTGTAGAAGCAATATACATCAACGTCAAGACCTAAAATAACACCTTGCTTCTTAACTGATGGAGGATGAGGGGGCAGCATTCACAATTTGTGTGAATTTTATTCAAAAAAATTGACTGGGTCAGAGACCAGCACTACTTCCTACTTCCCTTCGGCTTCATGAGAAATGGATAGGCATGGCTCATGTCCACTTAGCTCAAATGGATTTAATTTCCTGATGCCTGGAGCATATGTTTGAGCCACAGGCTGAACGTGAAGCAACAGCGGGCGCCTTGGATTCTGCGGAATCCATGCCTGCAGCTACCGAACCGAGTGTGAAGGAGGCAAGATTTTGGCTCTTTATGGCTTTGTTCAAGAATCTGTTGAAGAATCTGTCCGAGAATTCGTTGAAGATGCGACATGGTTTGAAAGCTACGTGTAGAAGCAATATACATCAACATCAAGACCTAAAAAACACCTTGCTTCTTAACTGATGGAGGATGAGGGTAGAGCATTCACAATTTGTGTGATTTTTTTTCAAAAAAATTGACTGGGTCAGAGACTAGCACTACTTCCTACTTCCCTTCGGCTTCATGAGAAATGGATAGACATGGCTCACGTCCACTTAGCTCAAGTGGATGAAAAATTTCCTGATGCCTGGTGCATATGTTTGAGCCACAGGCTGAACGTGAAGCAACAGCGGGCGCCTTAGATTCTGCGGAATCCATGCCTGCAGCTACCGAACTGAGTGTGAAGGAGGCAAGATTTTGGCTCTTCATGGCTTTGTTCAAGAATCTGTCGAAGAATCTGTCCGAGAATTTGTTGAAGATGCATGAAGATGCGACATGGTTTGAAAGCTAAGTGTAGAAGCAATATACATCAACGTCAAGACCTAAAAAACACCTTGCTTCTTAACTGATGGAGGATGAGGGGGCAGCATTCACAATTTGTGTGAATTTTATTCAAAAAAATTGACTGGGTCAGAGACTAGCACTACTTCCCTTCGGCTTCAGGAGAAATGGATAGACATGGCTCATGTCCACTTAGCTCAAATGGATTTAATTTCCTGATGCCTGGTGCATATGTTTGAGCCACAGGCTGAACGTGAAGCAACAGCGGGCGCCTTGGATTCTGCGGAATCCATGCCTGCAGCTACCGAGCCGAGTGTGAAGGAGGCAAGATTTTGGCTCTTCATGGCTTTGTTCAAGAATCTGTCGAAGAATCTGTCCGAGAATTTGTTGAAGATGCATGAAGATGCGACATGGTTTGAAAGCTAAGTGTAGAAGCAATATACATCAACATCAAGACCTAAAAAGCACCTTGCTTCTTAACTGATGGAGGATGAGGGTAGTGCATTCACAATTTGTGTGAATTTTATTCAAAAAAATTGACTGGGTCAGAGACTAGCACTACTTCCTACTTCCCTTCGGCTTCATGAGAAATGGATAGACATGGCTCATGTCCACTTAGCTCAAATGGATTTAATTTCCTGATGCCTGGTGCATATGTTTGAGCCACAGGCTGAACGTGAAGCAACAGCGGGCGCCTTGGATTCTGCGGAATCCATGCCTGCAGCTACCGAACCGAGTGTGAAGGAGGCAAGATTTTGGCTCTTCGTGGCTTTGTTCAAGAATCTGTCGAAGAATCTGTCCGAGAATTTGTTGAAGATGCATGAAGATGCGACATGGTTTGAAAGCTAAGTGTAGAAGCAATATACATCAACGCCAAGACCTAAAAAACACCTTGCTTCTTGACTGATGGAGAATGAGGGGGCAGCATTCACAATTTGTGTGAATTTTATTCAAAAAAATTGACTGGGTCAGAGACTAGCACTACTTCCTACTTCCCTTCGGCTTCATGAGAAATGGATAGACATGGCTCATGTCCACTTAGCTCAAATGGATTTAATTTCCTGATGCCTGGTGCATATGTTTGAGCCACAGGCTGAACGTGAAGCAACAGCGGGCGCCTTGGATTCTGCGGAATCCATGCCTGCAGCTACCGAACCGAGTGTGAAGGAGGCAAGATTTTGGCTCTTCATGGCTTTGTTCAAGAATCTGTCGAAGAATCTGTCCGAGAATTTGTTGAAGATGCATGAAGATGTGACATGGTTTGAAAGCTAAGTGTAGAAGCAATATACATCAACATCAAGACCTAAAAAGCACCTTGCTTCTTAACTGATGGAGGATGAGGGTAGAGCATTCACAATTTGTGTGAATTTTATCAAAAAGAATTGACTGGGTCAGAGACTAGCACTACTTCCTACTTCCCTT